CTGCCACTTTCTGCCATGAGTAGAAGCAGCCTGAGGCCTGCATCAGATGCAGCTGTCCCAGAACCGTAAGCCAAATAAACCTCTGTTCTTTATACATTACCCAGTCTCAGGTATTCTATTATAGAGAAACAGACTAATACAGGGAGTGTATGACAACAAAGTTTAGAAAATTCTGGGAGCAGTTAAGAAAGAAAAAAAAAAAAAAAGACTGGTAGGAGAAAAAAAGAAAAAGAAAAAAATATATACATGACCCAAAGGCAGGACGCCTGGGCTGCACAGTCCTGCAAGTCACTAACCCAGGCAGCGGCTCCAATGGCTGCTCCCTTCAGAGAAGCGACCTCGGCATCCCAGTACCCCTGACCATCAGGATCCTGCAGGTGCAGTGGCGTGGGGCACCGTGTGCAGTGATAAAACCATGCAGGACAAGGAAAAAGTATAAATAAATCCATGCAGGACGGGGTTGACAGCTCAGCCCTGGAACGGCTCCATCATGGGAGTTCAGTTGTGGGTGCTAAAATTGGACCTGTTGATCTTCATTGTGGACAGGACCCAGGAATCTGTATTCGAATGCCCCCCATCCCCCACCCTCCGGGATCTTCATCAGGTGAACCCGCCCACCTCCTTGACTCCATTTGCCAACAGAGGAGGGTGGAGACATCTTCTCCAGGCCTCAGCCATGTGGAAGGCTCTGGAGCTGCAGCCGCAGCACAGGCCGCTCTGAGCCACCTGCCCACCCTCTCCCCACATCAGTGGGCAATCAGTTTATGAAACACACACAAAGAAAAATAATTTATTTAATTTATAACAGGAGGCTTCAGCTTCCACCCAGACGGCCAGGGTTTCACATCACAATTTTGCACGTGCAAAAACTCACACTGTTATGCCACGAAGAGTTTGTAAAAATGGTTTTTCTTGTTGTGAACATATGAAGAATTCTGTTTGCACCCTCACCTGGGCTAAATAATAATCTTTATTAAAAAACAAAATAGAACCAACCAACCAAAACAAACAAAAACACAAAAACCCTCAGAAGCACAGGGAGTCAGAAAGCGGCTGGTAAACTCCAGTCGAAGGCCAAGCTCAGAGTGCATAAGAAAGGGACGGGGCGAGAATACTGTTGTGCCTGTAGCAGCTGGGGAGACCGAGGTCACACTTGGGTTACCCAGCGATGCACACAGGTAAACGTTCACGGCACTAAGAGAAGAGAAACCCCCGGGGCTGGGCAGGTATAACGGGCACAGCCTGGTCAGAACGGAACAGCCCCTCCTGGACTTTCAGATGCCACCGCCTTCCTGTTCCCCTCTAGTTCTCAGCTCCCCCACTCAGCAGGCTGACTCAGTCACTGGATCTAAGAGGCAATGTCGTTTTCATGGTCGGCAGGCCGGTGGCCCAGGTGAGGCACTAGGGCAAGCCCCTGCCCTGCCCATAGGGGCTCCACCGTTGACAGGAACCATTCATCTGCAGTGCCGGGGCAGGCAGCAGAGGAAGCTGAAATGGAAATACCCAGGGGGTGACTTTTTGGAGGTTTTCATAAAAGCAGCTGACACAGCTGGCAGCACCAGATGAGGAGAAGCTGAGCAAGCCCAGCACCCGGAGCACATCGGCCTTTCCCAGCCACGGCCAGTCTGGGGAAACCCAAGTCTCAGGCCACACACTGGCTTGGCTCTGGAGCCCCCTGCCGAGCAGGGCTTCTTCTAACATCATTCCTCTGGGCCCAGTACTCCGACTCGACTGTGAATCATTTTCTTTTACAGGAAGCAAATTCCTGAATTTCTGCTCCATTCTAGAAGCCAAAGTGAAAGTCTTTTACCGGTTACGTGCCCAGAGGTTTGCTGTAATGTCTTTAGGGGAACCCAGGAGTCCCTCATGTAGGCCATTTCTGTAAGGGGACTGCCTTCCTGTCAAGTAGCTCTATGTGGGCAGCCTAGAGCTTTCTCTGAATCCTAAAGGGATGTTCAACTCTTGCTGATTTTCACAAAGAAATCTGTTTTCAAAGGAAACCAAAAATGAGCGTTTTGTACTCAATCCTCTACAACAGGAATCGATAGCGCAGCATCAGTCTGGTTTTAATCCAGAACCATCTCACTAGGCTTAGAAAACCATTTCAGTTTTGTAGAGTTCTGATGGAATCCAGGGGAAGTCACCCGCTGGGTAAAGTTGGATTCCTGTCGCCAAGCCTCCCGTGGTAACATTTACACTCTCCCTTCTTAGCTGATGGCTTCTGCCACTTAATAGAAAAATTGTTTTCTGAAAATAAGAAAGTGTTGGTGGAAGAGCCATAATAAATAGAGATAGAGATGCTTATTTTAAATCCTTTTTGTTTAAAATGTAAGTAATTACCCCATGATCCATGTCCCCACTTCCCCCACCCGACTACCAAAATGTCTGGATCTTATCAGCACCAAGCTTTAACCAACTGAGCCAACCAGCCAGCCCAAGGCTGGACTTTTTTTTTTTTTTAAAGATGATCGGTAAGAGGATCTTAACCCCTGGCTTGGAGTTGTCAGCATCACACTCAGCCAGTGAGCCACGGGCCAGACCTCCACGGTTGGATCTTAAAACCTTTACCTTCAGAAGGAATCGGTATTTGGACCATTCAGTAACTCTCTGGTCACCTTTCCTACAAAAAACCAGACTAGGGAGTGAATATGCCAGATCTCCTCCCAACTCACCCTAAGAACAGGAAGATTATAAGAAAAGGCCTGGAGAGACAGCAGGGCGTCCCCAGGGACTCCTTGAGACCCTCCTCTCGTCCTGGCTCCAGCCTGTGCACCGGAAGGAGGCAGCCTGTATGATAAGGGATTGACTGGGGGAGGCAGGAGTCTGGATTCTGGCCTGTGCTTGAAACTCACACACCATCTACAGCAAGGACTGGCAGCCCACAGAGAGAGAATCCAGGAGGCTGCAAGGACACGGGTCGTCCCTGAGCGGTGTTGGGCTGTGTCCACTCGTGGTAGTCACCACACAAGCTCAGGGGAACCTTCAACCTGGCTAAAGGTAACTGGCTCCTTTGTTGACCAGCAAAGCTATCCAAGAAAATCTGGCTTCTCCAGGGAATCTCAGTGCTCTGAGAAACCAGGGATCTGATCCATGGTGCCTGGGTGGGGGACACATCTCTGGGATCCTCTGACATTTTATTTAGTCATATGAAAGAGGGGGGCACAGGTGCAGGCCCCTCAATCTGCAAACAGTAAACCGGACTAGAGGCACCCTGGTGGTGATCACGTACCAGTGGTTTCCCTGAATGTCATCA